CATGTACACTGCCACATTACCACAATGCAAAGTTACATTACCGCAGTGCAAAGTCCTATTCCGGGAAAAAAAACATGAAAGTCCGATGTTGGTACTTTTCTCTATGTTTTAGTCCTATTTAGGATGATTTCTATTTACATGGCGACTCTGTTGGCTTCTTTATTACGGAGTATTTTTCTTTGAGCAATGCTAGGGGTACACCAAAAGTGTACTCCAAATGTACACCACCCCCTTCTCCACCACTCATTTTTATTTGATTTTTATTTATTTTTTTTTTTTATTTTCTTGCCCAATTATGTGGACAAGGAAGGGGTGGGGGACAAATGGGGTACATCTTTGGTGTACCCTTAGCAATTTTCTTTTTCTTTTTAGTGAGGGCTTCTTCAATACGGAGTATGTGAAAACAAAGCGGGGGTACACCCGTCTCATGGGTGGCCCGCAGGGTGTGCAAAGCGGTCAACCGCACAGGACCCCTAAAAGGCTCCATATTTATAAATTCGGGATTAATTTTAAAGCATAAGCAATATAAAAAAATAAAATAGGGCCCAAAATATAAATTTTGGACCGGGCCAATTTTATTTTTTGATTTTTCGGGACCGGCCTTGACCCGTCTTTTTCCATATAATTCCTTCGTTCTTTTTTTATCATTAATTATGACGTAGAATCGATGAAAATAATACGGCTCTATTCTTTTGGATTAAAAAATAGAATTAGATATTGGAATAAAGTGGATAGAATTGAAAGAAATTAGAGGAGTTAGAAGTTAAAAGGACTTGAAAATTGGAAAAACTGAAAAGAGTTATAAGAAAGAGTAAATTCCATAAAAGGTTCCCGGTTATAAGTCGTTTTACATATTTAGTCCCTACATATCAAATATTACTAATTTAGTCCACAATTATTATATTCATTTCCACGAATGGTCCCTTGTTAACATTTCCGTTAAGAACGTGAATAAAATTGTAAATTCACACTCTTTTTTCTCCTCAATTAAGCTTTCTCTCTCCCCTCGCACTCCTTTCCCAAACCCATCGCTGAGTTTGAAGTTTTGAACCCAAAACCGAAATCATCACTCTTTCTCTCAATTGTTTGTCTAAGTAGTGGAACCCAAATTCGAAACCAGTAACCTTCACGGATGAGTTCTACTGTTTATTCCTTTGCAATTTCTTGAGCCAACCGATAAAACTCATCCATAAAGCTTATTGATTTTGATTTTAGGTTACAATAGAAGACTAATAATTGAGAGAGGAATGATCATTTCGGAAAGAGAGAAGTATGAATTTACAATTTTATTCAGGTTCTTAACAAAAACGTTAACAAAGGACCATTCGTGAAAAATGATATAATAATTGGGGACTAAATTAGTAATATTTGATATGTATGGACTAAATATGTAAAACGACCTATAACTGGGGACCTTTTATGGAATTTACTCTATAAGAAACTAAAAAAAGTTGGAATAAACTTAAAGGAGTTAAAAGAAATTGGAAGGAGTTTAAAAAAAACTTAAAGGAATTGGAAAAAACTGGAAGGGTTGGAAAAACTGGACAGAGTTGGAAAAAAATTCGAACGAGTTGGAAAAACTGGAAAGAGTTAAAAAAAATGGAAAGAGTTTAAAAAAATGGTTAAAATAATTATTTTATTTATAAAATTCATATTTTATTTAATATATGCATATATGTATATATATATATATATATATATATATATATATATATATATAGGGACCGGTTCCCGTGAGAATGCACCTTGTGGAGAGAAATGAGAATAAAATCTAGCCGTCGGATCTGATGCATCGTGCGGCTCAGATTGCATCTTGCGCTCAGATTTTGAGATAGTGCATTTTCGAAGGTTTATGATGCATTTCAACGTGATGCATTTTCGCACCATTTTGGTGCATCTAATTTTGATGAAATCTTAACCCTTAGATCTCACAATCTCATTTCTCTCCTAAGATTGCATTCTCACCAGAACCAAAATCTATATATATATATATATATATATATATATATATATATATATATGTATGTATATATATACACACACAAACTCTACTTTTTAAAATTTAATCTCTTTTTATTTTCTTTTATGAGATTACATTTTATCCCAAAGCGTATTTTGAATTTTTTTATTTACTTTTTTTCTTTACTTTTAAAAATTAGTATCAATCATATAAATATTTGTTTGTTTAGTTGTATGTCACTACTCCATGTAACAAAAATAAGAAGACAAATGAAGCAGTACTTTTTACTCCCTTCGTTTCGAAGTATTTGTCTACTTTTTTTATTTCTCGGTCAAAAATTGGTAGATTTTGACTCCAAATTAAGTAGAAATGATATTAGACATTGATACAAAAATAGTTCTATTAGAAATATTATGTAAAATATTTTAAAAATATTATTTTATCTAATCAATATATATAATATATATTTTATTCAATTATAAGTTAAATGTTGAAAACAATTGACTAAAAAAAGTCAAAACTCAACAAATACTATGAGACGGAGGTAATATTAATCTTAGTTGAAAGAAAAATTAGACTTAAATAATATAACGATATCTCGATCAAACAAAAATAATCTTACATCACAATATATATATATATATATATATATATATATATATATCAAAATAATTACAGAAATGAGCCAATACTAACAATGTCAACTTTGCATTAGAAATTATTGATTTAACATGATTTGTATTTTTATCTAATTATCCAAAAATTTACAATTACTAATGGAGTAATGATTACAGAGTATATATCACTTGTAAAATTCCAATATCAAAACAACAGAGTTCTAAGTAATAATTCAAAACAACTCAAATTAATTTTTTTAAGGAAGTAACCTAGAACGCCGAATCGGAGAAGAGAATATGATAAGACTCTAATTAGGGGTCATTGCTTACAAGAGTTTTAGTTGTATTTATTTCAAAGAGTTTCCTATTCTTTTTTATTATTACAGAAATTCACTATTCTAAAATAAGGAGGGTACAAGAAAAAAAGGGCATAAAAATGATGCCAATTTATTCGAACTCTAGTTAGGGGTCAGTGTTTACAAGGAGTTTGATTTATTTTTATTTTTAAAAATTTCCTATTTTTTGTATAAGAAAAAGTTTACTATTTTAAAATACTGAGAGAAAAATAAAAAGGGCTTATAAAAAAGCCCCCTTTCTAAGTAATTAACTTTAGTAGATGTCAATTAGATGGTGTAAAATCTCTCCTAACTCAGACAAAACGTAACACAAAGGTCGGAAGAGTTGCAGGTGGGAACACCTATAACCCGATTGTTATATTTCACTTATGTTTTTATTTCTCACTCTAAGTTGCCCCTCCAATTAGGGGTGGGTTCGGTTTTTGCGGTTCGGTTTTCACCCAAAACCAAAGACAAAACGGAAGGTAAATTGGCGGTTCGGTTCGGTTTTGCATAAAAAATATGTAAACCGTTGGTTATTCGGTTCGGTTTTATACGGTTTTTATTTCGGTTTTTTTCGGTTTTTTCGGTTTATAAAAGTAGAAATTTATAAGCATTAAAAAATTGTAAAAACACTAACTCGATGGAGCAATAACAATATGTTGTGTTAGGTTTGGTTTTTTGGTTTGAGTTTTACACAAAAACAAAAATCAAACGGAAGGTTATTGTATCATTCGGTTCAATTTTACATAAAAAAATATGTGTTGAGTACCCAACAAACATTTAGGAGATTCTAAATACTTCCAAAGACATCGTATGTAAAATTAATTACGAAGAACTTGTGTTTTTTGGTATAATACTTTCATTTTCATTATAATATCAAAGTATTTTTTTATGTAAATATGTAAATTACTCGTATCATGTAGTTAATGTTATTATAATTCTATATTTGGATTAGCTATTGGTGTTTATATTCTTAGATTTTTTAAAAGTTTATAATAGTATGGCTAAAATGTTTAATTAATAGTTAAGAAAATAATTTTAATCGACTAGTAATTTATTTGCATTTATATTTATATGATTTTTCTACATATCACATATATTTATATAAAAAAAAGCGAAGTATCTAAGAAAGTTCGGTTTATTCGGTTCGGTTCGGTTTTTCAAAGTGAAAACCAAAACGGAACCAAACACTAACGGTTCGGTTCGGTTTTTTTACATTCGGTTTCGATTTTTTCGGTTCGGTTTTTTTTCTAGCTTGTTTTGATCGGTTTCGGTTTGATTTGCGGTTTTCGGTTTTCCCAACCCAGCCCTACCTCCAATTGAAAAGGCTTACACAAGTATTTAAATGGACAAAGAGTATACTATTCAGATACACTATAGCCATCTCATGTTATTCCTAATGTAGCAATCTCTGTATCAGGTTGAACTCCATGCTACAATGTAGGCGGCATGGGCTTAGGCCATGTTCTCTTTATCTGATTTGATTGGAATTAGTTCTGATCTGACCTAATATATTCTGATTTGATCTGATCTGAATGTAGTTATATTTAAAATTATTTCAGATCTGATATGGTCTGATCTGATTCTAATAAGAAAAACTAATAAATAATAAGAATAAGTTGAAAAGAACATGTCCTTATTTGGCTTGCCCCATCACCAACTTGTGCTATCAAATCCAAGTGACATTTCACCCGGTAGTTCTACCATCGCCAAGCACTTGACACTTGATCAAATCGCTGGTGTCCTCGCCTGAGTTTTCCTTCTTCTTTATTGACCGATCACTGATACAAAGTCAGGGTGGACGGGGCCGTCTAGTTGTTTAGACCGGGTAGTGAGGAGTCGGTCCGATTTCATCATCAAGCCGGGAGGCCATGGGTTTATACACATCACAGTCATATTATGTTGTCATCATTTTTTTATAACAATCATTACTTTATACTCCCTCCGTCCAAGATTAAAGTTCTCACTTTGACTTGGCACGGAGTTTAATAAAACTTAAATTTTACTTTGACTTTCCTAAAATACCCCTCCATCCCTCATCCCTTGTTTCCCAGCACCGCAGAACCTCCTCCCTGCTCCGTCACTATCACCAACGGGGCCTTGATGGTCTACAACATAAACTCCGGCCGCTGCCAGCCGCCTTGATGGTCTACCACATAAACTCCGGCCGCCGCCACACCACTCGCCGTCCTCTTTGCTTACTCCTTCAATTTGTTTTTTTTTTTTCTTTAAGTATCTAGACTGGCGGTGTGGTGAACGGCCGGAGGCGGTGTGGTGCGATTGGAGGAAGTGTCTAATGAATCGAAATTCTCAGATCTGACGGAGATGGACAAGAAAGAATAAAAGAAAGAAGAAAATTTGAAGATGAGTTGGGCGTTGGACTGTGGAAATTGAAGAAGAAGAAGAAAAAAAGAGGAAATCGGACCGCCCGCCCTATCACCTCCGACCACCGCCACCGCCTCGGCCTCGCTGTCCCACCTTTACTCCAATCCCTGCTTCACGGCTTTCAATTTAGAAGAGGAATGGAGAAGAAAGAAAAAAAGAAGAAGAAAGAAGAAGATGATGAATTGATGATAAGAAAGGAAAGAAGAAGAGAGAGAAAAGAGAAGAATGAAAAGCTACGGCTGGGAATAACGGATGGGGAAGGAAGAAAGAAAAAGAAAAGATAGGGAGTGGGTGGGGAGGGTATTTTAGACTTTTAGGTATAAAAAAAGTTTCTAAAAATAGAAATGGGAACATTATTTTTGGACGGACGAAAAAAGAAAGTGAGAACTTTATTTATGGACGGAGGGAGTATTACATTGTCATTACACTCATATTTAAAAAATTTAATTATGTTCCCTATTGTAATGAGATTTTTTTTACTCTGGATATTCTAAAATCTCCGGTCGAAAAAAAAGCAGCGGTATGGTCCGCATTGAAGCCGGGAGGAGAATGAACGCTACCAAGTCTGCAACTACTCCGCACGCCCAAAAGCTGTGCAGAAATGCTGAGATCGTTCATCAGAAGCTCCAACTGAAAGATCCTCTCGGCGAGGCTTCTAGGAGACCTCGTGGCGCCGACGCCGAGGATCGGTCATCCGGTTTCGTTGCTAAGATGATAATTTCCTTCCTTTGTTGTCTTGCGCTCTATGGTATTCCGGGTGCTCCTGGCTTCGTCGCCGATAAAAGCCATTTGAGCACCAGATCTGAGGTCTAACTCTCCTTTACCTTAACCTCTGATCCTTGTTGATTTCCGCATCCGGGAAACTCTTACAGTTTCGTATGTTTTTCTGTGCTATAATATTTTCAGAAAATTTAGTGCTCAGAATTAGTTTGATCGTTTGAATAACGTGCGCCTTATGGTTTTATGTCTTTCATAGGCTCAGTAACTTCGATTTTTTCTTGAACAGTTTTGCAATTTTGAGCTGCTGCTGTTTGGTTGTCTGAATCAATCAATTTAATGGATCAACATATGGTTTTTAGCTTTTCCTTTAGGTGTAGGATGTCATATTAATGGGAGCGGAAAAGAAAGCCATGGGAAGAAATTAAGGGCAGTGAGCTCTCCATTCTCCAGCTGGTGTGCCATGAAAGCCGGTAATGACAGGTGATGATCTATTCACGACTTCAACATCATTGCTAGGAGTTGTTAAATTGAATCTCTCCGTACTGACATTATCAGAATACCAGTTATGAAGTATTTCATTATTGTCAATACTTTTTGCTGTTCCTCCCTTTGGTTTCGGTTTTAACGGTTTGGTCATAACATCCAGTCATTCTCTGTCAATATGATTAGCACGTTTTCGAACTGCACTGTTCCCAATTGCTGCAGCCGGGACTTCTGATGCTGGGAAAGCCTGTGTTTTTGTTTCCGGTATATGACTTGATTGACTTCTAATAAATGCTCCCACTCACAGGTGCTTATTTCTTGCCATAGTTTAACCGCAGTTTGTGAAACTCTGCATTCACTAACTTGATTCTTTTCTATCATCAGCTATATGCCAATGTTCCTATGATTGGCAGCCTTGGGTGCATAGCTATTCGTCTATTCTTCCTTTGTTTCCCCAAGTACTATATCTCACTTTTCTTTAATACAACCTATCCCAACAAGGACACTCCTAAATCCAATTTGTTAGAGGATGAGATTGTGGCTCCGGCAAACCCAAGATTGTGCAAGATTCACAAGAATATTACACTTACCAAAGCAATTCAAAAAGACGATCATAAATATGAGCCATAGTTTTTTTTTGCATTAGGTTTTCTGAGCTTCGCCTGAGTAAGCCTAGGTGCCTAAGACTCCCACGCAAAGAAATGAACGTGATTGTCTCTCATTGTCTCTCATGTTCCCAGGTAAATTACATCTGCACACAAGGAGTACCTCCTATTTTTCTTGATGCATTTTTGGTCTCTTATTGAATGACACACTATACATGTGTGTTTGTGTAGATGTAGACTAAGAGACTACATAGCATAGTTTGCATTTGTTAAGTAATCAAGTGTTTGTGAATTTGTGCCTCTCCAGTTCGGTAATTTAGTTACACTGATTAGACTCGCTGACCATTGTAATTCTTGTACCTATGTTGGGGCCATGTTTGCAGGGACCCAATGGAGTTCCAGCGGTTTTCTACTGTCGACTTTCTTTCCATATAAGGTAATATAGCTCCACGGACTTAAATTTGCAAAAGAAAAAACATACTCCTTATTTGCATTTCATTCCATATTTTTTCATCCTTTTGACTACCTTGTCAATGGAAACCTCTTTGCTGCTTTAATTGTATTTATGAGAAATATGGAGTAATATACTTCCTAGGTCCCTACATTTGAGTACACACGGAAATTGGAGTTAAAAAAAGTATACCGTGTGATTGAGAAACATTTTTCAAGGAAAAATACCTCTTCTGTCCTTGAGCATTAGTCCAATTTTACTTCATTTTTGATGATCAAAATTTGTCTAATTTGACTTCTGAATCAAATTCGATGAGTACTCCGAGTCGGAGGTAGTAATTGAGAAATAATTGACTTTTGAGTCAAATTGGATTAATACTCTGAAAGTGAGGTAGCAATTGAAAAAATAGTAGAGTGATCCATAGTCCTTATTTTTAAAGAAAATAAAACACAATTTCGGACAGACACAAAAGAGGTGACAACATAATTGTTTGGCAAACATTGGGAGTATATCTTATGAATGATTTTATTGCTGCTAAGTCATTTTTGTCTTTGGGCTATTACATCATATCCAATCAAATCAGACCAGATTAGATCAAGCAAATGCAACACGACCTTAGTACGTGCTCTTATCGATTCGGCCCTTCGGATAATTTAGGGACGGAGAATTGGGGGAGGAGTCAGCATTGGTATGCCACAACATGGACCTCTCACCCACATTTACTAATTTACACATACTTTGAGGTTAAATACTTTTTCACCTTTTGATATTGTTTGTTCTTGCTCTTAATCAGAGGTTATTTTGGTTGTTTCCATAGGGGGGGTTCCAAAAGTGGCAAAACATCCAGAGCCATGATAGTTTACCCACATCTACGATGAGGACAAAGTGCTCTTTTATATCACTCATATGCACTCAGTACACAACTCTCTACTCAAAAGTAGAGAGAAGGGATTGAAATGTTTGTTCAATAGTAAAGCCAAGAGGGGAAAAAAAGAAGACAAATGTTACATATACTACATCCTTTCTTTACCCGTGCAGCGAGGCATATTCTCTGCAATCCAATAAAATATGTATCCATTCATAACACTTCACTATGCATGCCTGTAAGTTTGCTTTTTCCCCAAACAGAAGGTCATTCCAGATAAGGATGGTTCAATTCAATGTTAATGGCTGAGCCATGCAGCTTTTCTGTTCTGGTTATTAGTTGAAGGAGCTTCCCAGACATTCTTCAAATAGTACACTACAAAAGATACAAACGCAAACAAAGTTATAACACAAAATATGCTTAAGAAGTATAAGAACAACTATGGTCTTGGGATCCAGAACATATCTACTTTCCGATCATATTGTGTCTATCATTCTCGAGCAAAATCCAATGCACGTAAAGGGGTTCAAGTGACCTATTTCTAGGTTATGGGAATTGCACACAAATATAATGAATCACATAAAGGGAACATAAGTGAAATCTACACACCGGTCTCAACAAATTCATGCAATCACCATGAAACACTTGTGAGCACACCGATATTGCTAATATGTCATTCCTAACTCTGGCAAAGGTATATAAACCCAACATGAATGAGCTTAATATGTATTCCGACTAAGGGAGTTTCCTACTTTTATCCAATTATTACCAACAATTCTCTAGCATTTGATGCCCGTTTTATGCCCATAAACTTGAAGAACAAAATAACCTTCAATCAACATTAAAAGTTACAAGCACATTACAATTTACAATCATTGCTAATATCAATACTCTGCAACATTATGCCTGTAAAACATCAGGATGACTACTTGGGAAGAATTTTAATAAATAAAGAACATGTGTCTAAAAAATTAACAGTTGCGTTATTTTTAACTACAAAGAAGAATATGGATGACAAAAATGGACTAAAAAATGGCATGATCATTACCAAAGCCCTTACAGCTAACGCCCAGCATCTGAACCATACGCAGAAGAACTATCACTATCAGAATCTGCAAATAGTTTGTTGTGAACGGAGTTATATATCTATCAGATATTAAAATATAAAAGGCGTAATGAATAGGGCGATAGAATGTTTCCAGGATACACAAACATCACATAGCATGCACAAGATGAATTCATATTTACCACTTGAAGACGACCCCGAATCACTGCTAGAACTACTTGAGCTACTGCTGGACCTACTAGCAATATCCACAAGCCTTTCACCTTGAGCAGGGGGAGGGGAAGTAGTTGGTGGATAATTCCCTTTTCCTATTCAGAAATCAAAAGATACAATAACATTAAACTACTATCATGAATAAGATCATGAATCAATGAAACACCATTCTTGGTAGATACTCACCACCTCTGCTTGCATTCTGTGAATCAGCAACCTCAGGAAAAGGGGCCTGCAGTAATGATAATACAACATGAGTATAAATTTTAAATACACACCAATACTGAAAGAAGAGCTCAAGTTTCAAACTCTTACAGTTACAGCAGTAGTCTGAGCTTCTCTGGCTCGGGCAATTTCAGCCTTTTTCCTGTTTTTGCTCAGACATTTCTTGTGATTGGTTACAAACCTATCAAGTTCCCAAAGTGTCTCTGCATCAACACTGTCAATATCTACTTCGATCTCATCATCATGTTGGGAGAGTGTTGAGTTCCTCTTCTTGATGATCTGAACAACAGCATCAAGCTTGTCTGAAGGTAAACTTTGAAGGTTTGTGCTGAGCTTCTGTTTCTCCTCGTATGACATGTCCCGTTTGTTGGGGTCCCTAGCTTTGGGTTTCTTAGGAGCCGGAGTTCTATAAGGAAATGACGACTTCCTTCTGGTATCAGCTGACCTCGTAATTGACTCAGACCTATCAAAAGTCCTTGTTTGAGAAGCAGGAACAGTTGCTGAAAGAGGAGCGGGGGCAAAGGTGGGAGGAGCCGTTTTTGTAGATGTAGGAGTGGGCAAACCCGAATCGTGATATATTTGAACACTCCAATTCGGATTATATTCAGACTCTATAACTGCCCACCTCTCTTCAAACATCTTGGACATTTGTTCTGCCATAATGTGAACATCCTGGCCCTTCGGGTTATATATCATGGCATTACGAAACACTAACCTCACGTCCTCTGCGAACTCCCTTGGGGATTTGTACCAATTCTGGGAAAGCCTGGTCTTAATTGTGCCTAAATCCATGGGATGTTTAATAATGTCATGATAATCATGCAGTCCAAGAGCGTAAACATCTACCGGTGTGTTAAACACCCAACCAAAATTGTGCTTCATCAATTTCTGAAGAAGGGCACTGCATTTCCTAAATACTTGATTCTTGTGCTTTTCGTACCCAAAGCCACCACGGCCAAACTCATTGCCGTGCTTTTTCCTAGAACCATTGGGCTTCGACTTTTTATTGCTTTCACTAGGCAAGCGATCCTTTCCGAGTAAGAACTCCGAATTTGCATAAAACTGATTGGCTTTTGGTGTCCTTTTTTCCTTTTCCAAAAGCTCACCAACCCCGTGATTTCTTTCTGTGACTATAATACTTGGCGGCCTAAATTGGTGCCCGACTGATCCTATCTCTGAGTTCACTCTCATTAAAGTTCTGTTCTGGATGGCATAATTCTGGGGAAACTGTGGCTGCCCAAATGCATGGACAACATCACCAGAAATAGCACAACTGCTACCAATATTATCAACATCAACATCATTATCATAGGCTGTTTGCTGATGCTGCTCATTAGCTTCAATCTTATTTACTAAAACCCTGACCTGATAGAGTTCATTCTCTAGTTTCTTCATAAGATCCCTAATCTCATCTGCAGGCCTTACTCCTGAAAAATTAATCCTAACCTTATCTTCCATCCTAGTGAAGATAGGGCTAGATTTCACCATCTCAATCTCCGCCCGGTGCATAGATAGCAGCTCATTATCCTGTAACACAGGCTGCTGGCATTGGGAACTTACATTGGTCTCTTCTATGGGATTGTCCTGCCTCACAGGCATTTGCAGAAGAGTTCCGTCCGTTTGTTGCAAGTGATTATCCTGCATGATAGGCTGGCAGTCTATACGTTCATCAATCTTGTCTATGTGCTTATCCTCAACCACAGGCTGGAAAGAAAAATTTACATTTGGTTTGTCTATGTGATTAGGCTTCACCATAGACCGGCAGCCCATACTTCCATTTAGCTCATCTGTGTGATTATCCTGTACCATAGGCGGGCTACAATGACTTCCATTTGGCTCGTTTGTGTGATTACCCTGCACCACCGGTTGGCATTCTGGAATCCCATCTGGCTTGTCTTGGTGATTATCCTGAACCATTTGCTGGCACGGGACACTTCCACCTGACTCATTTATGCAATTCTCTAGAACCAAAGGCTCGCATCCGACAATTCCATTAGGTTTGCCTGCATGATTCCCCTGCAGCACAGGTCGACATCCATCAGGCTTGTCTGTGTTATTCTCCAGAACCACGTGACGAAACCCATAACTTCCATCAAGTTCCCCCACAGGCTCAATTCCATCATCTTGTCTTTTCTTACGATTGGAGACTACCACCTTCCTGTGACGGGTGCCTGCATCCCGTATAGGACTCACGCTCAGAGTCGCTTGGATCTGATTCCGGGAATCCCTCTGTTCATTATCTTGATTCGGTAGCTTTGGTCCTTGGGATTCAAGGGGTTGCAGATTCGGGTCTTGAACACCAGATTTCTCCCTCTGGGTATCGCCGTTGGACGGTAGGGTTTGCAGATTCGGTTCTCGAACATCAGATTTCTCCGTCTGGGTATCGCCGTTGGGAATATTGGCCTGTGGTGTCGAGGTAGTGGTAGCGGCGGCGGCGGCGGCGTATGTTTCTACGTAGTCGGCTCTAAAAGCGGCCTTCCGTTTACCCTTTCGGGTATAGACTTTGCAAGCGTCGCCCCACCGGACCCTCTCTCTCGAAATCAAATCAATTAAACCCGAATCCATACATGAAATCGGATCCCGACGAACAAAACACGAAGCCGATCAAACGACACCCTACCTTCCCCCGAAGATCCAACCTTTGCCCATAAGAGGCAAACCAAGAACTAGGGTTCCGAGACCCAGCGATCTGCAACCCGAATCGGAAACCCTAACCCGGTAGACACGGAAAAAGCTCCGATTTTCAGAACTTACGGGAATCGAATTCGTACGGAAGCTAGGGTTTTCGACGGTGAAAAAAAAATTGAGGAAAACGAAATTACAGAAAGTTGAAGGATCTCTGCAGTAAAAACAAAATAAAACGTTTTATTTTTTAAAAATAAATGGGAATTTTGGTGCAGAAGGGGGATTGAGAGAAGAAAGAATCCAAAAATAAAAAAGAATTGGAGCTTGTGACTATGTTGTCTGGTCCGAACTCTACTCCCAACTTTTGAATACATACATATACATATACTGTACCAGCGAGTGGGTGTGTGTCCTTTTATTGCCCCTCTCAACCACAATGAGTGTCATGTTTCTCTTTTCCAC